AAGGCCTAAAATATTTAAAATAAGCTCATAAAATGTCTATTCCAATAGTTTATGTGTGTTACCCTTCTCTCCCTCTGTAGCTGCAAGTGACCCAACCAGCTATGGCAAAAGCAGCGATCACCATGCAATCTTCAGAGTAAACATGACCCTTTCCATCCCTAACATTGTCATGGTTCCAGCTTTGGAGGAGGTTCAACAGGCTCTAAACCGCGCTGTAGAGTGTGTAGTCAGTGTCAGCAAAGGAGTCAGCCAGTGGAGCAAAGAAAGGATATCTAAGGTGAATAAAGGAAAAATCTATTTGTGACAGTATTTAGCTTGATAACTGTAATAAACTGTTAGAACTGCTCTTTTTGAGATAATGGTGTCATGGTCCAGCAGTGTACTAAATAAACCCGGAGGTTTTACATTCCCCTTTCCAGAGACAAATGAACGAAAAGCGAATGGCAGCACTGAAACAAGACAGCTCTGAGAGCGAAACAGAGGATGGAGCAACAACATACAGAAGCTTGGCTGGTAATAGAGAATATTATCACTTTCATACCTTAACCTCAGACCTTCAACAGCTCCTGACTGTGTCAGCTCACTCATTTTTAAAATTTTAAGATTTACTGTTTTCAGCATACAATTACAACTCGATTTTACAGCTCAGCAGAGCAAGCAAATATCAGGGGCAGAAACACGTAGTATTGCTTGGGGAGGAAAATATTCAAGAATTTCATATTTAATGCAAATTAAATGCATATTTAATTAGAAAGTGGCAGGGATAATCAATTTCCACTATGAAAAGCACATCTTACTTTTAGAAATTATATATACAGAGAGAGAAAAACTAAATGGAAGTAATTCCATTATTAACATGTTCTCTTGTTAAAAAGACCTGTAACATATAATTATTTAAAAAGCCCAGAAGTTAATATTTGAAAGAATAATGTCCATCATTTCTGCTCAATGTGTTTTCTATGAAATTCTGTCATTTTCAGATGGCAGTACCTCAGACATGTCAGCTTCTGTGATCCAGGCCATCCCGTTCCAAGCCAGAAATTACTACAAGAGTGTGTCTGAGAACAAGGAAATAGCCAAGCTAATCTCTGTACTTAGCACCTCTATCACCTCCAGTAAAAAGGTACATGGCACTTAATTAAGCTATACTGCACATTTTATATGAAACTAATCCAAACTTAGCTGTCTTTTATTAAATCATGGCATACACTTTTAATATTTCTTTATCCCACATTTACAACAGATATTTTCATCTATATTTCTGTATATTTAATGAATATAAATGTCTTTTATTTTTCTATAAGTGCACTTCATTTCATATTCTCCTGTTGATATTAATGTGCAGGAAGTGGTGACCGCTCTACATCACTTTAGCCGTTACCATCACATCTGGAGGAAAGACCGTGAAGAGACCATGAGGAAGTAAGTTGAAATGTATGGTTTCTATATAAATCTGCTTATCTGACATCGCACTAGTGCTATTTTTGTTTGTGTTTTGAACAGATTTATCGAGGGGAGTCCCTTGTTATCGGAGTTTGAGAGCCAGATTCTTTTCTATCGAGATCTAGAGCTGGAAGTAAACTCTGAACCAGAGTATATTGCTGTAGGAGCCTTGGCGCTATTCACAGGTCTTATTAAGTTACGAATTTAAAACCGGCATGAATGAGATTTTCGAGATTTTCAGCAAGTTAAATAATGCTCTCTGCATGCTCATATTACTT